GGGGTGTTGTCCCCAGTTGTGAGGTGAATGGCTAGTAATTTAAGCCCAATAACTCTGGCCTCTTTGACTTTTCCAAGACGCGTGTGGTATCTTTGACTAGGATCCACCATGTTCTTTAGATCTGAGCCCTTGGATGAATGAGATTGACCAAGTGGCGCGTTAGATGGAAGCGTATATGGTAGGCGTCTTGTACTGAACCTGCATGGGATAATGATTAGAGGAAAAATAATATGAAAGGTAAGAGGACCTGGGGCTCGAACCCAGGTCATGAGGATTACCACTAACCAACTTTGCCAATTGAACCAAGCACGCGTTTTGTATATTAATTAATAAACAATCATTATGAAACAAAACCACGCGTTAATGATTTTTTAGCGCGAATTTTTGAACCAGCCAATTACTGATGGCCACGCACCCTTCTTCTTCCTTGGCTTATTTTTCTTGAAACACAAAAACAATTAGCAACGGTTTTTTAAACGTTCCCTTAGGCCAGTTTCGGAAAAATAGCGATTAGCTCAGGGTGGCTCATAAATTGAGCGCGACCCCATCACTGAGTTTGTATGAAGGTCCTGATTTTGATGGTCTGGGTCTTGAGTGCTGATTTTTCCTTAAGTGGAAAACCCCAATTCACAGCTTGAAAAACCCTAAAAGATGACAATGGTGGAATCGTGTACAACGCTAAAAAACACAATTAATTTACATGGTTAGCATTAGAATCAAACAATGAATATGAATCAAACATTAAAAAGTGCCAAAAACGCATGATTCATGATGTACGAATGCAAGAAATCTTCTGTACAGGGCACGTTCGTTTTACCAATTCTTGATGTTAGGATGAATGATTTTGATTGGAAATCCTTCCTTGAAGCTTCAGGAAGGTGATGGCACAAGTCTCTTTGCTTGAATCGTCCTCTATCCCTGTTTTCAGTTTTCAATTTTTCAACCAAAAACTCAAGTTTAGTGCTTGGTCTGTAGCGCAACTTCTAGGTTTTGGGCATGAGGGTTTCATTCTATACTTATGTGTGAGTGTTTTAGGTTAAGAAACTTGATCAAAATCCATGCATTGATGTGAAAAAGATTTGATTTGCAAACCATAATTTTTCAATCTTTTTTCATGCTTTTTAGCTCTCAATCATATCCAATCAACTTCAATTCTTCCCTAATTTTATTTTGCACGAAATATTGAGATTTTTTATGCACAAAAAGATTTGAAATAGTAGGTTTAACATTTTTCATGTATTTTAATTAATTTAAATGAATTATTAATAATAAAAATCCAAATAAATAAATAAATAATGAAGAAAAACTTCCCTTTGGGCCAAATGGTCGTGCACATGCCTTGGATAATGAATTGTGGAAGAAAAAGAGGCCCATTAGCAATTTTAGGTCATTTGAATCAATGTTGACTTTTCAAAATATCCAAAAATTTCCCAACTTCCACAAGGCATAACTTGCTCAATTATTAAGCTTTGCTCATGTTCTTGGACATTTTGGAAAGGTCTTTGAGTCCTCTAACCAATGCCTTTGGTCCCATGTCATTTTGATTTACCAATCTCAAGTTATGTCCTTTGACTTAAAGTCCTTTTTTGTTGACTTTTGAAAATGACCTATAATGTTGAAATTGATAACTTTTTGTGAGAGCACTTCTTGGACTTGAAGTATGAAGAGGAGTTGTAGGAAATGTCTTTATCTTCAAAATGAGCTTTGGATGGAATTTTTCTGATAATCCATGTGAAAGTTATGCCCTGGTCAATTTACAGTTGACTTTTTCAACTGTCCAAATAAGGAAACTTTTGCATCTTGATGATTTTTGAGCCAAGCTTTGAGAATCATGATCAAGCATTGATCAAATGATGTTTGTGGCTTCAAAATGAGATGTTGACCAAAAATTTGAACTTTTGACTGTCAAATGACCATTTTGCCCCTACAGTTGACTGTAGTGCAATTAGGGTTTTGACTGTGGAATTTTGTGCTGAAAGTCTTGAAACTTTGTATGAGGATGCTTGACCATGTTTATAGGCATGTGGGACTTGATTGGACCCTTGGAAACTTCATTTTCTTGATCAGAACCAAAACCCTAATTTTGACTGTTTAGGAGGCCCTTGAACTGTGCAACCCTTGGGGAGATTTTGAAGCTTGACTTGGCAATTTCTTGAAGAATATGGGAGGGCAAATTTTGGGGTACAACACTTAGTATATTGCAGTCTGTGCTTAGCTACAGGTTATGGTTTATGCAGGTATACTGGTTTAGGCTTTAACAGATTTATGCTTAGGCAGGTCTGAGGCACAAGTTTTAATGCCTGTTGGTTTAAGGCTGGAAGGCCTTTTGACAGGTTTCTGGGGCTTGGCCTTTGTTCAACAGGTTTGGCCCTTTTTTAGCAGGTTTGGCCTTTGTTCAGCAGGCTTGGCCTTTGTTCAGCAGGCTTGGCCTTTGTTCAGCAGGCTTGGCCTTTGGTTCAGTAGGCTTGGCCTTTGTTCAGTAGGCTTGGCCTTTGTTCAGCAGGCTTGGCCTTTGTTCAGCAGGTTTGGCCTTTTGGATGCTTAGGCTGGAAGGTTTTGACAGTTGTGGTTATCTCTCTTTGATATCTTTCTGATCTCCTCTCTCTACTGTGTTCAGTTTGTTTCTTTTTATCTTTTTCTTCCTGCCTAAAGCCTAAACCTGCTTTCTTTGCTCTCTTTTTCTTCTCTCTCAGTACAGTTTGCATTAAAATATTGTTTATGCTTTGTACTTTCTGAAAGGGCAACTTGGGAAATGATGAAAATGAAACATGTTGCTTGCATATCAATTTTCCTCTGCATATTTGTCCCTTCTTTTGACAGCTTCTTGTAATTTTGGATCTTTTGATATCTTGCCAAATCTTCATTTTGATAGCTTGGGCAGCCTTGTACAGTTTGACAGCAAGTTTGAATTTTTCAGTTTGGACTTTGTAGTTTGATTTACACTTTGGAGTTTTGAGATTTGAACTTATGCAGTTTGGACAATTTGACTTGTGCATTTTTAAACTTGTGCATTCAAAGTTTAGCAAATAAATGTTCGTCCCTCTTTGTGAACCGGGAGAAATCCCGTGATTTGCAGAGAGGGTTAACTGATCCCAAACAATTGCCCTTAATGATGAACTCTTTTTTATTTGTCTCTTTATTTATTTATCTGTCATTGACTTTTCTCCTTTTCTTTTGCAGATGAATAATTAAAATGGAGCACTGCAGCGAGCGATAGCAGATGAAGAATTGAAGAATAGAAAAAATGTTTAGGATAGCTTTATTTAGGTTTAAATTACTTGTAAAATCATTGTTGTAAAAAAATTGTAAACAATAATTGTACGAATAATTTAAAAGTAAATAAAAAGTCTTTATCCAATTGATTCTTTTTTATCCTTTATTGTTTATTTATTATTTACAATTCTTTGAATTAAAATAATTGAAAAATAAATTTCAATCACTTAATCTTAGAATAATAAATAATTTAAATAAACAAAGCTTTAGCATTTGATTAGTTAAACCTGGCATTTCCAACATCCAAAGCAAAACAACAGTTAATCAAAACAACTGATCAGGCGCATTCCCTTTTCACTGATTTTTACCCAACACTGCAAAATTCAAACTGAATGTGTCCTTTCACTGATTTAATCATACAGACGTGAATTCAATCCAAATGCATTCTTTATATTGATTAAGCCAAACAATGCGTATTCAAACCAAATCCCGGAACAACTTGCAAAGCACCGTAGAATTAAATCTTTCTGAAGAACCGCGTATGAACAAACCTAATTCCTGATTAAATGCCAAAGAACGTTCGCCTGATCAAAGCTGAGCCAAAATCAACCAAAACCCTAAGCCAATTGTTTGAAACATTCTAGAGCCCTGAAAATCACTAAAAACCCTAATTGTGTCTGACTGACGAGAAAAGTCTGTTTGACCGATTCTTGAGCCAGTTTGAAAAATCAGGAAACGCCTGAAGCTGTGATTTCTTGTGGAAAAATGCGAGGGCAAATTTTGGGGTACAACACCTTTGAATACACTGTTCATGGATTCAATAAAATTTGTTGTCATGTGGCCTCATCGTTGTCCATTGTCGTATGACCTTGTCCATTTCTCCATCGGAATATTATCGATCCACCTACCTGCGTCTGGATTTGACAATTTGATCTCGTTGCGATAGTGTTTGAACGTAAGTTATGTTAATGCATATTCCGCGTTCATAACTGCTTTCCTAAGAGCCTTATCTTTGATCTCCCTCGTGAAATTTTGTATGACATGTCTAATGCAATAGACATGCGTAGAAGAAGGGTCATGCCAACCGTTTGCAGGATTATTGTATGCACTCTCAATAGATGCATGTCTATCGAAAATTAAACAGAGATCTGGTTGAGGAGCCACGTGTGTTCAGAGATTTCTGAGAAAGAAACTCCAAGCACCATCAGTCTCTTCCTCGACTAGAGCAAAGACAATTGTGAAAATATTGTTGTTGTCGTCTTGTGCAACTATCATCAGTAGCGTGTCTTTGTATTTCCCATAAAACTAAGTTCCATCAATTTAAAAAATAGATTTGCATGACGCAAACTCTATAATACAAGGTTGAAAAGCTTAGAACACTCGACTTTGTATCATTTTTAAAAAAAATCTGATTATTGCAAAAAAATAAATTCTCAAATGTAAATGGCCATTAATGGATTAGGATTTGGAATTATCTTGGAGAATGATGCAACTTAATTGTGAAAAAAATGAGTAATAAATGCCATCATTTGGTTCAGATTTGGAATTATCTTGGAGAATCATGCAACTTAATTGTCAAAAAAAACATATAATAACTCCAATATTCATACATTGACATCACGGTCAAATACAAAACACTGACGACTTTGCACTAAATAACATACTAGTCTTGTCTATTTTTTTTTTGCTATAAAATAAAAATAAGGGACCCTTTCTCTCTCTCTCTCTCTCACACTGCAACTGGGAACAGTGAAGTGAAGTATAGTTGCTGGTAAAGAGTGTCAAAAATGGGGATAAAGATTGAGATGATGGTGGTTTTGGTGACCCTTTTGTTTATATGTGTCACTTCTTCATCATTATTAGCTAACAACAACTATGAGGAGGAGCATCTTCTTAGAAGAAACCTTCTTGCTAATGGTCTTGCTAAAACTCCTCCTATGGGGTATGTATGAATGTCACCAAATTGTAACTGCTTTTTTACAGTAACAATGTTTTAAGACATGCATCTAAAGATTAATGATACTGATATTTTGTATACAGGTGGAACAGTTGGAATCATTTTGGTTGTCAGATTGATGAAAAAATGATCAGAGAAACTGGTATTTTTGGTCATTTATACTTTATGCCATCATTGTATACACCTACAATGATGATTTAATTTATGGATTTGTATAAATTTGAGTATACATCTGAAAAACTATAGCATCTGATTTTGTGAGTTTGGTGTGTGCATTTACAGCTGATGCTATTATTTCTACTGGTTTATCTAAGCTTGGATACACCTATGTCAACATAGGTATTATCATTATTTGTTTCAATTTTTTACTGTGCAAAATATCATAAGCACATGCAAATATGCAATTAACCTTCCTTCTGCAGATGATTGTTGGGCTGAACTTAATCGCGATGATAAGGTATAGATCAGTTTATTTGATTATGTTTTCTTATTTGGTTTCTGAAGTTTCTTGCTTTCAATTGAATTGTTTCTGACAAACATTGATGTTTTATAGGGTAATCTGGTGGCAAAGAACTCAACATTTCCTTCTGGTATTAAAGCTCTTGCAGATTATGTTCACAGCAAGGGTCTTAAGCTTGGAATTTATTCAGATGCAGGGTACATAAACAAAAATTAGTCAAATGTATTCTTTATTTTATTTTATTTTCATTGCTTTTAACTAGATTTGATGCTGGTTTTTCACAGGTATTTTACATGTAGCAAACGAATGCCGGGTTCACTAGGTCATGAGTTTCAAGATGCCAAGACTTTTGCATCCTGGGTACTTCAAATATTTGTGCCTTTTACATATTTTTTCTCTCTTTGCAATCTATCTATCAATCGGTATATAATCAGCACTTGTTTTGCTTGATTACAGGACATTGATTATTTGAAGTATGATAACTGTTTCAATGGTGGATCAAAGCCTACTGAGAGGTAGTCAAACATATATTTGAAATTTTGCATACTACTACATCGCATCTACTCATGAAGATATGTTTTTGTGTCTGACATATGGTTAAATTCAATCGCTTCTATGTTTCATATTTGGTGTTTGTGTCTATATCAGTGTTTTGTTTATGATATGTGGTTAAATTCAATCACTTCTATGCTTTTTGTATCCGGTGTTTGTGTCTATATCAGTGTTTCATTGGCTAAGACTAATGTTTTAGTCCTTGATATAGTTGTATTGTATCTTGTAACATTCCATACATAATTTTGAAAACTTATATGGGTTTCTTATATATAGGTATCCTATTATGACTCGGGCTTTAATGAAGGCGGGTCGTCCGATCTTCTTTTCGCTATGTGAATGGTAGCTATTCTATTTCAGCATCTTATTGTTCTTCCAGTTTTAAGTACTTTCCTCTAATCAGAATTTCTTTGTTTGTTAGGGGAGATTTGCACCCAGCTTTATGGGGCGCTAAAGTGGGAAATAGTTGGAGAACTACCGGTGACATAAGTGATACATGGGAAAGGTAAATACCACACACTCAATTTGTCGGTACAAGCCGTTCTTAAATGTGAACAAGTATGGTTTGTAATGTATAGAGTTGTTTGATGCAGTATGATTTCAAAGGCCGACACGAATGAAGTTTATGCTGAGCTAGCAAGACCTGGTGGCTGGAATGGTTGGAGTTTCATTACCTTAAACTTCAAGTTTGTGTCGTTATCTCATATAAAATTTACGAGTCAAGATATTCATTGAACATTTTAACTCAACAGATCCTGATATGCTTGAGGTTGGAAACGGAGGGATGACGAAAAATGAATACATTGTTCACTTCAGTTTATGGGCTATTTCAAAGGTTCTATCTTTCTCTTCCCTTCAATTATCTTAATTCATGTAAAAGCATGTATTGACCTTGGTTTATTACAGGCTCCTCTTCTTCTAGGATGTGATGTAAGAAATGTGACTAAAGATACCATGGAGATAATCTCTAATAAAGAAGTTATTGCAGTTAACCAAGGTGATTTTGAGATTTCGTAATCATTGTAAATTTGTAATATGCTACTGACGTTAAATTTTATCTCTTATATTATCTTGATAGATCCGCTTGGTGTACAAGCTAAAAAGGTTAGGATGGAAGGTGATCTCGAGGTAATTTTCGGCATATGATTTTGTATCGACTCTCTAACACTAGTCCTAGAGAATCAGATTCTCTTTTGCTAGATGAAGATCGAACTGCTCATATTTTGAGTTGCCTGCGCGTGATTCATAAAATAATTGGCATTATTTTTTGATAGATATGGGCAGGTCCTCTTTCAGGATACAGGGTAGCCGTCGTGTTGCTAAATAGAGGTGCACAGCGCATCGCTATAACAGCCAACTGGGACGACATTGGCATACCGCCAAAAAGTGTAGTTGAAGCAAGAGATCTTTGGGAGGTATACGTTGTACTATTGCATACATTCGATTTATGTTTCGTTACACTTTGTTGGATACTGAGTTATTGTTATGGATGCAGCACAAGACATTGAAGAAACATTTTGTGGATAAGTTGAGTGCAACAGTAGAATCACATGGTTGTAAAATGTATGTGCTGAAACCAGTAGCATGAGTTCTACAAGACAAGAACAAAGTTATTTGGATTTTGCAGGTTTTGAAAGCGCGGTGGTTAAGAGGAAATGGAAATAAGTTTGTTTGTTTCTGATTAAAATAAAATGTTGATTTTGTATATGATGATGGACTTGGTTTTATTCAATAAAGATTGTTCATCTGCTTCTGTTGATTGAAGTTTGCAACCTTATTTTTGTGTACCAGCTTAAGACAAACGCGTTTTTTCCTTGCATCTTACATTCTTCAAGTTTTAAATTACCCTTCGAATTTTAGAATTCAAATGTATATTTTTTAAAAATATATACATTTCAATTGTAGAAAAATAGAGCTAGCATCAATTGAATTGACGATTACATATAGAGATGTTAATTAAATTGATGTCAATTTTTTTTTTGAAAAATAGGTATGAAGAGACCCTTAGTTATTTAAAAAAATTCTTTGTTATTCAATTGTATTCAAATCGTATAAATGTTAAGATATTTGAATATTTGTTTGGATTTAGACTTTTAAAATATACATGTAATTAAAACTAATCATCTTCTCTTTCATTTCTCTTTAAACCAAATATATAATTTTGAACCAAACATGCTTTATTTTCTAAATGTTTGTACAAATCAAAGGATTATTCATCAATCCGAGAATGTAAACTTTGGTTGTCATAAGAACCCAGTGTTTTAAAATTAAAACCCAGTCTGATCCGGCCGGTCGGGTCGGTCTGACCGAGAACCGGTGGACCAGGTGGTCTGATTAAGGGATAAGATCGAAATTACATTTAGACCGGATGAAACCGGTGTGATCCGGCCGGATCACCGGTTAAATCAGTTAACCGACGGTTTTTATTGAACCGGCGGGTTTGACTATTTATTTTATTTTTTAGGGCTTTTGAAAAAAAAATTAACATTAACGCTTTGTCTCCTCGTTTCCCAAACCTATGTATTTGAAATGTTTTCTTTTTTATTCTGTCTTTTCTTTTTCTAATTGAAGTCATATTCTCAATTTTCTCTACCAACAAAAACTCTCACTTGCTGCTGTTATTTGATATTCCTTGTTTGCTGTCAAAAATTTCATCAAAACATCAAAAACAGGTTATTTCTTTTTTATTTGGTCTAATTTGCATTGATGTTTTTCAATATGAATATTATTGTTTTATTTTGTTGATTAATTGATATAAAAAATAAATGATTAAATTTGATCATTTTCTATAAAATTGGGTCTTTTAGTTTAACAAATTGAGATAGAATTTGTATGAATGAAACAATTTTATACTTTTATGAATTAACTTATTATAGACGGGTAATGAAGTTGTTGTATATTGGAAATAGAAATTGGGATAAATATATATTACTGTAATAGTCGTTGTATATATTATGGAGATAGAAATTGAGTTTAAAACTATGTAATCTAAATTATATAGTAAGACAAAGTTTTCTGTTTTTTATTAATTTAAATTATATAACAAAGAAAAGTTTCAGGATTTTATTAATCTAAAATATATAGCAAAGGCTGGAAAGCAAAGTTTCTGTTTTTTTATTATATATGATGATGCACAGTAACGATGCTTGGTGAAGGGGTGAAAAACACAAGAAGGGGGGGTTGAATTGTAAAACTGAAATCTTAAAGCAATTGACAAGATATTTTTATCCTGGTTCGTTTGATCTCAAACTACTCCAGTCCACCCGTCAAGGTGATTTCGCCTCTCTCCAACGAGGTCTTAATCCACTATATTCAACTGAATATTACAGACTGCTTTAACAACTGCTAAAGCCTTCTTGATTCAAACCACAATCTGGTTTGTCAAGGTAACACTTTCTTACAAAGGTATACAACAATGTGTGTGAATGTTTTCTACAAAACTTTATCACAACTGTGATGTATACACAAATTAAGCTTAGAAACTAGATTGCTAAACTGTAATGGAGTATCAGAGTTTGTGGTTTAGCAAAACTGGTAGATGAAGATTATGGTTCAGCTTTGTGCGTGTAGAGATTTGGAGAGCATTAGCCATTATAATCTTCGAAGCCTTGTTTATATAGCACTTGAGAAGATGAACGTTGAATGCAATATTCTTGTTTCAATGCTAATAACAAGCTTTCCTTTTTGAGCAGATCTTGTCTGGAATGAGGCCGTTGGAATTAATTAGCGTTCAATGCACAGTACCGTTGCTTCTTCAATGCACGTTCTGGCTTGGCTCATTCTGATTCTGCTTCGCTGCTGATGAACTATTGTTTTTTGTATCAGAGTGTTTACGCGCAGTTCTGTTCATCAAGCTTCAGCATGTACGTGAGTTGATCATCTGATCTTGACGTTCTGATTCAGCAACTTCTGATGCTGGTGTATGAAATCAAATTCTGATGCTGAATAAGTGATCTTGCTTATTTTAATCAGCGTATCTGCAAGTCAGAGCATAGTAATTTTAGGCAGTATATAGTTCAAACATGAAACATATAAATACTATATCTTTTCACTTTGTTATCATCAAAACTTAAATATAGGGTAGTAGATTCAAACATTGTTCTAACAATCTCCCCCTTTTTGATGATGACAAAAACTAGATATTTTAAATGAAAAATAACGTGAAAAGGTGTATGGGAAATGTTTCAGAGTTTAAGAAGTAAAGAGAAATCAGAGTTAAGAGATACTCCCCCTGAGTTGATTACTTCCCTTTGATGATACATGTACTTCAGGATCAGATCTTTTTCTTTCGTTGAACATCAGATTTATCAGAGTCTTGACTTATCAGAGAGCAGAGCTTCAGAGCTTTTCTTGTCAGAGCTTTGCTTTGGATCAGAGTGTTAAGACGATCAGAACTTCATATTTGATCAGAGCAACATTGATCAGAGCTTCTACATTTTGATCAGAGCTTCTAGTCTTCATAGTGTTCAGGAGCTTCCTTGTGCCTGTAGACTTTAAACAAAACAGAAAAACATTTCAAGTAATAGAGTTAGAATGTTTGAGAATTTCTGTCTAGTTAGCCGTTATTGATTTTAAATATCATTCTTGTTCTCCCCCTTTTTGTCAGCAATCAAAAAGTGTTGGTGATGTGCTAAAACAATGTGATCAGAAAAACTAATCATATTAAAATAGTTCAGAGCAAAAGAACATTACACAAACATAGCCAAAACAGTACTTTAGAGAATCAAGAAAACATGGAGAATGTCATGCATGAAAAAGTTTCAAGGTTGAGGGGGCATGCGTGAGAACAGGCTTTCCAGCATTGCTTGAATCTTTTCAGAAGTTTCATTCTGCTTCTGAACCATGTTGACCACAGTGTCAATCTTGCTGTCCTGTACATCCATTCTTGCTTTCATCTTCTGATCATTCTCTTCCATCCGCTGCTGTAGACGCAAGTCATTCAGCCTTAATTCTTCCAGAGTCTGCCTGTCCAAGGCACACAACGGACTCCACCACCACTTTGACCGATTAGCCTTGCAATTAGATCTTCAGAAATCACAATCTTCTTTCCCATGACAGAAGAGATGACTAGATATTTAGAAACCTTGGCGTGAATCCAAAATTCCTTGACTAGTGCTGGGAATGTTGGTCCAACCAACCTATCGAAATACCTCTCCCACTTTTGAGCCCTAATTTCTTCAGTTAGGTCAAATCCATTTTCCTTCAAACTTTCAAAGTCGATGATTAACTCAGAGAGAACTTCAAGGTTCTTTACCGGTGTGAGAAGAGTTCTGAGGGGCACCTGATATTGTTCAGAGGTTTCTTTCTTCTGATTGCCTGCAGAAATGCTGGAGGATGCCATTGTTCTCACTAAACAAGCTTAGAGAATGATTTGAGAGAAAAAAGGTTTGTAGGAGATAAACTCAGAAATATGCAGAAAATACTTGAATGATTATGAGAAAGCGTAAAGAATAAGAATGAAGGATTAATGTGCTTAAATAGAGTTATTCAAAAAAAAAAATTTTGAAAAATTAAACGTTTTTAAGAGAGAGAAAAAAATAATGATTGCCATTTAACAAGCGTGATTACTTTTCATTAAATGCTTGCTGATTTTGGGGGATTTGAGAAAGATACTTAAAAACGGTTACCAGACATGTGTCTCAATGCACCCAATCAGCGCTTTGCCTTCTCAGAAGCGTGCACGCGTTCTGCTTCAGAGATTTGCTGATGATTGGATGACACTTGTTTGATGTAGTGACCAGCACGTCTGTCTTTGAGATTAGACTCTCAGATCTTTAGACTTGCATCTGATACAATCTGCATGTTCTATCTTTCTGAAAGAAGATTGATCAGAAGTTCACAGTAATATAATTACATTCTGAAGATAAATATATGGAATTAAAACATTTTCATTCTGGGCATACTTTCATGCTGAGATGTTTCAGAATGAAATTGAACCTATCTTCTGAAAGGGGTTTAGTAAAGATATCAGCCCATTGATGGTCTGTATCTATAAATTTTAAGTTTAAAATACCTTTCTGAATATAGTCCCTAATGAAATGATGTTTTATTTCTATATGCTTAGCTCTAGAATGTAAAATAGGATTCTTACTTAAGCAAATAGCAGAAGTATTATCACAAAGTATAGGAATGTTACTCTCAAAGATCTGGAAGTCTTCAAGCTGACTTTTCATCCATAGCATTTGTGTGCTACATCCTGCTGCTGCTATGTACTCAGCTTCTGCTGTTGACAGAGCAATTGTTGACTGCCTTTTGCTGGACCACGAGATCAGATTTTCTCCCAGAAACTGGCAGCTTCCAGAAGTACTTTTACGTTCCACTCTGTCTCCAGCAAAGTCAGCATCGCAGTAGCCTACTAAGCTGTAATCACTAGATTTTCTATAAAACAAACCCAGATTAGTAGTACCTTTCAGATACTTGAAAATTCGCTTAACAGCTGTTAAGTGAGATTCTCTAGGATCTGATTGGAATCTAGCACAAATACATACGCTGAATAAGATATCAGGTCTTGAAGCAGTCAGATAGAGGAGATAACCAATCATACCTCTGTAGACTTTCTGTTCTACACTTTTGCTTACCTCTTCTCTT